TTACGTTAGGTGTCCTATGTGCTGAGGTTTCAATGATCTCCCGATAGTTCCTTAGGATCGCTGACGCCGAGAGATTAAAGCTGCTTACCAAGATATGAATTTGTGGCTTGTATTTATTCTCTTCGAACTCTTACCCTCATATGCAAACCGGCAGAACTTTCTTCAAATCTTTTTCCGCCTATCTTTTGTGGCCAAGAACCTATAAGAACTAGTGTTTGTTGAAACTGATTGAGAGGTGAATTCGCGAGACAGTATCTTAAATTTATTAAAATAACGGATGTTATGAAAATCGGGTTTTAAATATATGTACGTACATATACTTAGAGCAGAGAAGCCTAAACAGTGAATTATTCTTAAAAATTTCTAACGATTTACGATTTTTTTGTATACAAGTAGTTATTTAAAGCAAATTCTGTAGCTTTTCAATTAATTGCTATTAATTAAACTGAATACACCTAATTCTTTTTAACACGGTTTTGATTTAATACGGGTTGAAAAATAAAAATTTTATACAAGTTAAATGACTTTATTCCATTTAGCACGATTTATGTCTTTTATTTTTTTTAAACGTTTTTTTAGGAACCAATTTACCGTGTAAAAACAGAATTAGATGTATAATATATATGAGCTTAAAATATGGTGTAGAGCCGTGTTCCACTTAAAACAATGTTTGTATAGTTATTTAAAGCAAATTCTGTAGCTTTTCAATTAATTGCTATCAATTAAACTGAATATAACACATATATGAACTTAAAATATGATGTAGAGCCCTTTTTCAATTAAAACAATGTTGCCATGACGAAATCTGAGTATTTTCTAGCACCCAACAGCAATGCTTTAGCTTCTATCTGGTACTACTTTTGTTGGAGAAGCTATAGATACTCTGCTATTGAAATGCCTCATTTGATTGACAACGTATTTTGAGTTTCCTTCGCTTCGATCAGCCGGACGATCTTAAGTGCTTTATCGAAGCCCACGACTTGGCTTACTACTGCACTGTGCTTCCCACATAATAGTGATATATTTCATAATTTCGTATTTAACGTTTACCATTTGTCCATTTAGGCATTAACAAGAAACGTTGGACGTGTAGTAATGCATAAAATCGTAATTTAAACCTCACCAGGCAACTGGCTGGCTGGCTGGCTGGCTGGCTGGCTGGGCTTTTATGAATGAATAGGTTTGCTTTTTGTTTCTCTTGATTTTGTTGCTGTACTAGTATTTGTATCTGTATCTGTATCTGTGTTTGTGTTTGTGTTTGTGTTTGTACGAGTATGTGCCTTGAGGTATAAATCCGACGGCCTACTCGCGTATGCAAGACACGATTTATGTACCATAAAGGAAAATTTGAAACAACAACAACAACAACAGCAGCCACAACTTTGACATCTACGCGTGTAGAAAAATTGAATGGGCTGCAGACGTTGCGCATTTCGTCGATCGTTCCATTCATAAAACGAGTAAGGCGGGGGCCAGGTAGCTGGGGAGGGGGCAATGGCGGTGCAATTGGCAAACGCAGACGTTGTTGGCCAACGGGTTGGCTGGCGATGGTGTTGGTGTTGGTGCTGGTGATGGTGAGTCATGCCTGTTGCCAACGACGATGAGGTGTGTCAATTAGCAGGCAGTTGGCGAGGAAGCTGCAGACGTCGTTAGCTCCAAAACCAAAGCCATCGTCCTACTAATTGAGTGCCTGTCTGGGAGCCAGTCTAAGCCAAGAGCATGAGTCACCATCGACTTGCCGAAGCCAAAGCCGACGCCTGCGCTCCAACTCCAGCGCATTTATGAATGGAAAGCCACGAGCTGAAGTTGTTGCGACTGCGCCTGCGTCTGCATCTGCGCCTGCGCACATACGAGTATCTGGCAGCTACAGAAAAACCAGTTAGGTTAGGTTGCGTTTGCTTCCTTCACACGTCGCGACGCGTCGTCTATGGCAGTGTGGTTGTTGGGTGTGGAGGCGCAGCTGCGGGAACGGGTTGCTGTTGCATATCCGTTTCTATTCGATTTTGCGTTGCCGGCGTTTGACATTAAAGCGGAAGAGGGCGTTCGCAACGTCATTTGTATGCAGCTCTATTTGCAGCCCAAAACGCCGCTCGCCCATGGTTTCGTATGCGGATGGATGCGGATGCCTTTGGTCGCGTGTGTGCGGTTGGCGGCTCCCTTTGTGGCACCCACCGGTATGCGCCGCTTTGATTAATTATGCGCCATCGTTCGATTGCTGGGCCATTGTCACTTTGGCAATCAGGCAAATAGGGTAAAAATACCATAACTATTTATTACTTCTGCATTGACCCAAATATACCTATACACGGCTAAATAATTTGTTTCTTTTGAGGCCACCAGCTAATTACCTTTGTTACACTTTTCCGTAATTACAGGCTATGAACATCAACTTCAGGGCTCTGCAGGAAGCCAGGTGTCCTCGATAACAATAGAGCGTGTCAAAAAAAAGCCCCTAACTTACCTGTTCGGGAGAATGCATTTGGAATGTATTTCGTTTATTCCATTGGAATTTTTCCAATGTATTAAAAATAAGTAAAACTTATTCAGCTTTACATCCCTTAAGAATCATAACATTACAATAAAATTTAATAAATTAATTTAAAATGTAAGTAGCTCTTCCGCCCCCTCCTTCTTTCTGCACTCACGGCCTTCAAGGTATGTGTGTCTGTTTTCGGAAGAATTATAAACTTTTCAATTAAATTAAATAATCTGTTGTAAAATATAAATAGCTTTTTCTAGCCGCCTCCTTGTTTCACGTGTCACGAACATTTTCTACACTTAAACCGCCTGTTTTTGGAAAATTGATGAACTCTTCAGCATAGCTCCCAATAAATATTCTACGCAAAAATATTTGAATTTAATGCCACTATAATCTGTTTATTAAAAAATAAAATATTTATTAATATTATAAGAAATTTAGGCGGTCGTACATCGATGCAGCCGCCTTTTATTTTATAATATTTGTTTCGAAACATGAAATATAACTTTTTAAAAAGAGACTTAAATAAAAACGAAACGAAAAATGAAATAATTCGGTTTATTTGGAGGATCCCCCACCACCACTTTTAATATGCAGAAGGCACACAATTAGAAAATGGCTGCATTAAAGATACAAGGTGTGTTTCAGAGTGCACAGAACTCTTTAAAAAAGAGAGACAAACCATGAATTTTGTTTACTTTCATCGGTAAAGATGTCAAATCAGATGCCAAATCAGATGATGGAGTGATTGATAATTGAAATGAATTTCAAAATGCGATAAATTCTGAATCGATAATTCTATTCTAAAAGTCTAATTTCTAATTTGGAGCTCACCTTGCATCCAGCTAAAGGATATATCTTTCAGAAGAGTCTGCCTGCTGCCGTATAAACACGTTTTTAAAATACTCTTTTAATGAAGCTACAATATTTAACTTTTTTTTTATGTTTAATCAAAGCAAATATTTAACTTGATTCTTTTATAGGACCCTAGTATTGCTCTTAGTGCAAAGTTGCTCACTTGTGTTGCCACAACACAGTGCAACAAAGTGCTGGAAATTGGCAAAAGTTTGCTACTCAGTCGAGTGCGACTGGCATAGCAATTAGCGGGTCAGCAATACTTGTATTTAGCAATATAAGCGGTTGGCGGGCAAACTATAGGGAAATGGAAAAACATTGCCAACAAAGACGACTGGAAGCACCCCCTGCTCTGCTGTCAGAAATAGGAGTGGAGAGGAAAACAACAAAGCGTGTGCATTATTCGTGGCGAAATGTAATTGTCCCTTTTACCTTTTGCTGCTGCCCCGAGGCAGGTGTGTTAGTTTATGATTTCGACTCTCATCTGCATGGCAGGACATGCACGGACATAGACACGGGCCAGCACGGACCAGCACGGACCATGTGCGCATTTCGAGCGCCAAATGCAGCTGCAAAAATGCAAAAACGAGCAATGGACAGCGCACAGACGTCAGCGGCTAATTCCCGAATTGAAGTGGCAACAATGGAAAGGTCAAATTTCGACTGTTGCAAAAACAACTCGCAGCTAAAATCAATCTGTCCGAACAATGAATGGCCAAGACATTTTTGAATATGATCGAGGCCAGATTTTTGCAGGCCACTGGACTCCCCGACTCCAATTACGGGTTGGCAGCTGAAAGAGCCTCGGCCACATTCAATCAATTGATCTCTCAATCACGAATTTAACAGCAGCTGCCAAAAATGCTCCAATTTATTCGGGCGGTGGGCGTCATTATTTGAGCTGCCGCTGTTCCTCAGGAAGCGCCGCCGTTCATCTAAATATGCATATATGTATATATACTTACGTATACATTATATATGTATTCCTGGAAACCACAGCGAACAGAGCTTATCGCGACCTTTTTATCGGTGCACATAAGGTCACGAAATGAGAATCAGCCGCGTCATCAGCGCAGATTGAAGTAATTCGCCGCAGAAATGGAGTAAGTATATATACACGTATTTATATAGATTGCTGTCGGAGCCGGCCGGAATAAAGTTGCAAGTCAGCCGATTGGTCAGCATCGTCGGCCGACTGTGAAGTTCTGGGCCGGCCATGATCGCGTGCGATAAGCAACGTCAATATTTGTGCTGCCGTCGCTCAGGCTCAATGGGAGCTAAGGCTCATTATGATGAGGTCCTTGGGCCTGTTAGTCTTGTTAGTCTAAGACGTTTCTCAGATGTTGGCCGACAAGAGGCGACTGCCCCGACCCATTTGCTCCGTGTTTTGTGTACACGTATTTATTCGTCGGTTTGTGTGTAATTGTGGGCGCAAGCGGAGGCAGCGACCTGGCTAATTGTTTGTTGTTCGCTACCTGCTCGACATGGCTTGGTCGGAATAATTGAATTTAAATAGCAAGTGCAAGAATTCTCAATTGAATTATCAGAAGAATGTTGGCCACCAACAATGGCAACGACCGCGACTTTGTTTGTCATTCGGCTTGACTGTGCGTTGTGGACTGCGGCTGGGAACATGCAGTTGAAATAAAAATGTAACAGCATCGCATTGATGCTTCATTATAAATATATTTATTTACTTTTTGGTTTTCGAAGCACTACTCTTAACATGCACCGGACACAACACGACTTACTACAGTAGAATGAAGAAGAATTTACACGGATGAACTTGTTTGGACTCTCGCACACACAACACTAACAGCTGGAACACATGGACTTCAAGCTCACGTCCACATCTCCCAGAGACACGCTTCAGGCTACTCTTCTTCCTCTGCAAAAAGAAGGTACTTAATAATCGTACTCGTGCACCTTTCGTTTGACTATTTCTACTTACGATCTATTAAAGTGTACTTCCCCTTATGCTTGACTAGGCGCCCCTGTGCGAGCAGCGAATCAATCACGTGGTCCACGTCATTCACAATGGCTGCTATGGACTTATCCGTTGTAGTGCTGAGCATACGCAGTATCACCTCCTTCGAGGCTGGTTCGCCTACAATGTCCAGGGCTTGGTACAACATCATCTCGAAGTCGGCGCTACCCATCTGCGACTCCTCCGATGCTGGAAAGCTTGAGGCTATGTCGTCGTCTGACATGTTTGCGTTACAGAAAATTTAACAAAATTCTAAAAAACAGAAATTTTAAATAATATTTTGTTGTGTGTTGCTCCTACTAGTGATTGTAATAGACTGAATGTTCAATTTCGAATCTTTAGTTAGGCCAGTACACTAAAATAACAGCCTGCTTGACAAACAATTTGTTGCTTCAAAGATTACAGAAATATTGTTTGAGATCCTTTTGTGTGTATTGCAGAAATAAGAATGATGATGAAATGATGAATGAAAACAAAATCAAAGCCTGCTTGGCAACCCAATTTGTTCTATTGGAGTAAAACTTGTACAGAAATGCACGGAACTACGTACAATTTGAACAAATCAGTACTCTAGAAAATACTGTTCATGGTGTAGTTCTACTTCTTGTTCTAGTTCTTGGACAAATATTACAAAATAAATGTTGTATTTTATGAATTTACATCCTCATATTTATGTTTTGATTGTTATGTGTAATTACATACATAAATCATAATTGATTCATTGAAAAAATTCAATTTATTTCAATTTGCTTAAACAAAAAACAATTATGAAAGACACACATTGAAATAAAATGTCTATGTATACTCTTACCGGACACTTGCCTTGGCCGGACAGAAGTCGGTCGATGGCGAGTATCCGCCAAAGATATTATCAACTTTCTCACTTTCGACAAAACTGTTCTCAAAGGGCATTTTCGGGGAAATCTCTGAGCTATGCTTGCTGGACTGGCAGTCAAATTTTCCCTAGAGGTTCGCAGCTTTTCCTTTCTCTCTTTTTGCTCCTTAAGTAATCTACTTAGCTGTTAATTAATATTAAATTTCTATCTTCTTACTTACTATTCTACAGGTAACTTTCTCTGTTTGCCAGGTCTAATAACGTTTCTGACCATATTTGGCTTTAAATCGGAGCATATCTAACCGGGTGGCAAATAAAATTTGTGTACATTTCTTCCTTATAGTACCATTTATAGTACATTATCAAAGGATGAACTTTTGCAACCTTTCTAGGGCTTGTTCCAAAATGGAACTGAAACGTGGCGCGTTTAGTAAGTTGGCAGCTCAGAGCAAATCCCTTTCACGTTAGCCACACTGCGTTTTTTGGTTAAAGTTCTTTCTGCCCAATTTGTTGATTGGTTGCTTGTCCTCCTTACTCTTACCATTAAATGGAACAATACCAAAGTTCTAGTGATATGGAGATATGTACTCCTACAGCTGAGCAAGGACGGAGGTAAGTTTTGTGAAATATAATATACATATATGTATGTACATGTGATGACTGCTTGTTATCCCACCAAACGGTGAATTTATTTTAGCGAAGAGGATGATTTGCAAGTAGTAGATATAAGCAGCGAAGAATGTGAGATGCTCGATGATGATGACGGTCCGGAGCAGGTTCAATCTTCAGAACTACGTTTATTTAGTCTTGTACGCCGAAGAAGATTGAAAGTAGATGTGCGTTTAACCCGTTGATGTCTGTTTCTTTTGGCCTTTACTCTTAACGCATAATCTTCTAGGATATATGCCTGCAATTTATCGCGTCCTATAGAAATAACGCCAGGATGGCCCTTCTAAGATTTATGCAGTTTGTTGTGGACGCCAGCAGCTTATCAGAATATCAAGTGCCCGAAAATTTGGCATTTCCATTTCCCTACAATGAAATTCTAGAATCGGCATACACTGCAAATATTGTAAGTGGGTTACTACATCCGTCAACCAATTACTGAGGCTAAAATCTTTGTTTAGGAGTGCGAGAAGCGGAGGCCAGTAAACATGGCTTCAAAACATCTAAAGGAGATTGTGGCCAACTTTGTGCAAACATTGCTTAAGACCGCTAATGACAGCTCCATCATCTTCAATGATAGCTTTTTGCAAACTATAACAGACTTCATTAGCACCTGCTGCGATTCGAATATACGTTCGGTTCGTTATACGGGGACACTTATTGGTGAGAGGGTGGTGTCCTTTATGTGCCATTGTGCTTAGAGATTACTTGTAGGCGTGAAAATGCTGACGACCTTGAATGATTTGGTAGCCGTGGAGTACACGAAGCTGGAGCCACTCTGGATGGGAATGTTTACTCGCGTGTTTTTGAAACGCTGCCGTGATGTGGTCGAGGCCATTCGACTCATCTGCATAGACGAGCTTGGAATCTGGCTTCTGAAGTATCCGCAGTGCTTCCTCAAGCAATTTCACATTGAACATTTATTTGAGGCGTTGATGGATAAGGCAAGCAAAGTGCGTGAAAGCAGCCTCATGTCATTATTGGAACTGTTCAAGAATGAGTCTCTGCAACCTTTATATCAACGATTTGGCATGAAGTTTGAGAAAGTTCTTCTTGCATTCTCAGTGAACACTGAGAGCGAGGTGGGGGAGTACGCCGTTAAGCTGCTTGTTTCACTCTACAAGTAAGCATAGTATATTGCATAATACATATGTACTCGCATATACAGATACTTATCTCTCCAAAGAACTTTTTCTGGTAGCCTTAGCAAGGCTACGTGCCAGATAATTGATAAGTTGGTCTTCGCTGCCGATCGTGGCTTGGCGCAGGCCGCAGCCGAGCTGGTCAACTACCGCCTGAAATTAAAAAGCGAAGTTATCAATGGACCTGGGGAACAGCACTCCACTCTTATTCGAAAACTGCTCAAATTCTTCCTTGACTTCGGCGAGCACGAGCATACTGCCTACTATGTGGATGCCTTGTACAACACCAATGACATCATCGTGGACTGGTCTTGCATGGTTAATATGCTCTTGGTAGAGCCATCTGAAGACGCGGCTCTCAGCAGTAGGGAGGTGTCAGTCTTAATTGACATTATGGTGCGCGGCATTAAGCAGTCGGTTACTGGGGAAATTCCTCAGGGTCGCTACACGAAGGACCTAACGCGACAACCAAATCCGTCGGCACGTCTGTCAGTTACAGAGATCTTCGAAATCAAACTCAGCCAACTAATTCTGAAGTATAGATGCAATGATAATTTTGAGGATCTCATCAATTTGATCAAAATACCGCGGTACATGGACCTGACCGTGTGCATTACTGGCACTTTAAGCACTCAATGGCATCAGCTGCTCGATCATCTCGTTGATATAATGTTCAAAAATCCAAATGACAGAGTATTGAAGACTTGCGCCAAAACATTGAGTTTCATATTCGGTACGCTGCTGGAGTTCCCGTCGAACATCTTGGAGGCACGACGCAGGGAATTTCTTCAAAACGCTGTCATCAACTATAAGATGGCTGAAAAAACGTGGCATGATTCTGCTCTGGGTACGCATGGTGTGTATTTTGGTGTCCCATACTCGATGGGTAAAATGGTTATATTGTTAGTGAAACGTACAGCCAAGCAGATGAAATGAGTTGATCTAAATAATCTGACTATGTCGTCTATGCAGAAAACTGGACCAGAACTCTGAAATAATTTTATCCAAAATGACCAAACAATTTCACAATTCAAGTTCAAAACAAATTCGTCGTGTTTTTTATATCATATATTATTATTATATCGAAATACTCGTTAACAAATATTGCTGGAATAGTTTTCACCAGTACTATACTCTGAAGCTACAGGAAAGTTTTTGGATCATCTCTGTTTTGTTTATACCAAGCGAGCATAGTAGCTGCAGTACTTTTTCGCACCCGTAGGGTCACTGGTTCTGTGGTCTGGGCAAGACTATTCCTATAAATTCTCTCTATGTACTCGTGTTACTAAACAAGATACATATGTTTATGTTTAATTTATCTAGCCTTGAAATTGTGAAATTTGAAATTTCTGTATATTTTTTAGAATCTCGATGGCAGCGGTTGCTGGATAAACTGAAAATATTGACAGTTATATATGCTTACTTTGATCTGAGTAGCTGGAGTGTGAGTGCGTCCCTCTTCTCGAATTTTCAGAAGGCGGCAACAGATTTGGCGGAAAGCTCAATGCCTGAAGCGGCTGTGCATTTGTACCTGGAAGTCTGTTACATGTCCCTGAGCTGGGATCTCAAAAACTTGACTACTGCAGACGTGTTAGAGGCCGGCTTAAACGAAGCCTGCGAAAGCTTGCATCAAAATCGTGATACTTTTCTCCAAGCAGGTTTTACTTTAATAGAATGTACACGGGATTTGAGAGTGAGTGAGAGATCTTTCGAGTATGTTTGCGATGTTCTGGTGCTGTTTGGAGATCAGCTGCGCCGATGCTCAACTGCTGCTGTGCGAAATCTGGAGTACAAGTCGAAAATGAATGAACACGAACTGCTTGAAAGCTTTTTAAAACTACAGATCTTTATGGAAGAGCCTAGTGAGCTGGTGAAGGAGGCGCGGATTGAAGAATTGCAGAGAAATCGGCGTCTTCTGATCAGCTACTGTAAGCTGGTATCCTTCAATGTGGTCCCGATGATGCGTGCCTCTTCCATTTTTCAGTATTTCGATCAGGTGAATTGGTTTTTCTCCTATATAGCATATCCCTGACTTGTCATGATTTATTTTTCTCCCAAAATCCGCAGTACTATAAGCCATATGGTGATATTTTGAGATTTGCTTTGGAGCGTATTCTGCCCATAAATCCCATCAACTTTGGCATGACTCTGCTGCACACTTGCATAGGCGCCTACAACCGATTTTGGGCGAGGATGGGCGGGATATCGGCGAACTCGGGAAATTCTACAGAATTTGCCGAGGTTCTGAGTCTAGCCAATCGGTTGGCGGCAACATTTTCCCCCCATATGCTCGCTGGTCGCGCTGGCTTCGTCGCCTTGCAGCGCAGTGGCATTCTATTTGCGGGTCATTCATTATCTTCAGATCCTACGGCGCCACCACACGATTTATTGTTTTTACTCGTGATCGAAGTGTTTTTGCCGCTGATACTCAAACAGGACTTGCCAGGCATTCAGGAGTACTTAAACAGGATTGAGCACCCAAGGCTCCCGTCCTGCAAGGACAAAGATTGGCAGCCATTGAAGATATATCTTGCCAGCTTACAGAAACATAGGAACTCAAATAAATGCTGTAGGACAATGCTGAACCAACCTTTTGGCAATGATAAATCTCTTAATCTTGCAGATATCGAGTTGGACAGCGAGTAGTATCTTGTGTCGCAGCTTTAAAATCAAGCACCCGGTGGACCATATGCCCTTAAATAGTGGACATGTTACTTAGTAGTATACAAGTAATTAATGCGCAAACACAAATACACACTGAATGAGCATTCCGATTGAAACCTCCAAATTGAATGTTGGGGTAAGAGAGCTTCGGTCACTGGACCAGTCCAGTATGCATGCCAGGACCAGCACCATTTTCAGCTAAAAGGGCCCATTGACAAAATACGCCATACAAAGGCGAACGAATGCAGACCCGAGCTACTGGCCACATTTATAGATACTGCATTCAATCAAATGCCGGCACATCTGCTGCCTCTTACGCAAACCTATCGAATTTCCCTTGCCCATTTCCATTCAAATCGACTCGCAATGGCAGGACATGCATAAGAGCTCCTACAAATAGGGATGGGGCCAGGGGTTGCCAATGGCTGTACACGTAACTACTTGGCCTTTAACACCCGGTTCGAAGAGGGTCCTTAGGTGCGCGGGTCTTGCATTGAAATTGAAGTGGACAAGCGCCGATCGGATTTTGTGTCCATTTGCCGAGCTCGCCTTGGCGCATGCCAAACTCGCCACTTCTGGGTGTCACATTACGGGTTCGGGTGGCGTGTCCTACACCTACACCCGGCGAAGACGTTCAAGTGTTAATTGCGAAGGAAGTTCACAACTGATCAGGATCAACTGACGTCATAAAATTCGTCGTTATGTTTTCCATTTGGCACCCCGAAGTGTGGACGCAGCGGTTGAACTTAACAGCGCCTTGAGCCTTGAGTCCAACTTCGATTTCGTCACAGCTGCGAGCTCCCTACATTGGAGGCCGCGTCAGTTTGCGCAAATCAAGCACACGGTGTGTCCTGTCAGCCAGCTCCTGCAACATATGCGCAACCAACAGCAACAACAATTGGGGAGGCTGATCTTAATTGGCCGATCAGCGGGCTGCAGGCTACAAGGCAGCAAGGCAGCGAGCAGCAGGCTTTTTGCCAGGCAGGTAGCAAGTGATGGCCATAAATTTCGCGCAACTCGTAACGGGAATGCAATGCGGCATGCCACATCGCATTTTCACGCTCGCGCGCAGAGTGGAGGCGGCTTCGGAGTGTGTGTGTGTGTGTGTGTGTGTGTGTGTGCCACAGATGTGCTGATGCGCCGAAATTTACACGAGATCGAAATCGCACCGCCGCATGGCAACCTGGCGGCTGGCTTGACGGTCTCTGATCGCGTTGCCCCTGCGGTTGCGGTTTAACGAGATGCGTTGCCGCCTACTAAACGCCTCTGCCGCTTGCTCCTCGACTCGCGCATGCGCCGATGTCTGTTGCCGATAAAGGCAGCTCACTTCTCGGTTCGTCGATTAGACTACACTAGCTCTCTCGTTTTCCTGGCCGATTTTACTCCAAAAGTGTAACAGAATTTCGGACACGCGCATCTGTCGCAGTCCTCTACAATAACAGCCGTTCCCCGGGCCAGCCAAAAAATTTGCAAGGCGACACGTGGCACTTGATTCATATCGAATTTCTGGCCACAAATTGTATGCGAGTATTACACACATTGTGCGACTCTTTAAGGTTAACATTTCGGTTGCAGCGAAACCCTTGCCTACGTTTTTCTGAAACTCCTTTCTTAGTTGTCTGCCACCAACTGTCAACTTCTCATTTGGCCATATTTATAGCAACAACAGAAAAGAGGGTGAGATATGTATATATGTATATATGTACATACATATGTCTGTAGGGCTGGCGAAAGAATACAAGATGTTGATATTTTTCAAACTACCTTTACAACAAACTCAACTGTGAGAACAGTAACCGTTTTGAAAAGCAATTTAAAAGTCCACATTTCTCCATTAAAACCATTCCACGGCTTTAAAATTCAATCTATTATTATACAAGTATACCTAGCCCTCGCTTAACGAGGGGGTTATTATGTTCCTTGGGGTTGTGTTCCTAGATTTCGACAAATGCTTTTTAAATTTCCACTGTTGTTAAGGTCCAAACATTTTTGAAATTAACAAATAGCTACTCCAAGTGTTACATATTTATCATTAAAGGAAAATATTTGTAAGCGTAAAAAATATTAAAGCAACTTAAGATAAAATTTAAATTTTTAATTTAAAATTGGTGGCATTCGCGTAAAATCCATTTTCCTGCTAAAAATTTTTTTGTTTGTAGTGGCCCTCTTGCTTATAAAATAACGGGTTTTGCAATTGTAAACAACCACTGGTCAAAATTTCTTCCAATATTCATTCAATGTTTTCTGCTTAAGCTTTTTTACAAATAAAATAAACAATTCAATGCAATATAAAATTTCTTAACAGTACTGATTACATCGATGGAGTCAGTTTCAGTTGTATTTGAAATCGTGAGCATAGAGCTCTTGATGCGAACTTTTATTTTAACATTCTGATTAATTAGTATTAATTGCATGACCTGGGTCATATTTCAACAACAAAGCTGAGTTAAATACGCTTCTGTTTTCAATACTATATTTTCAACTTCTATCGTGTAAGAACGATGGTTTCAGCGTGTAAAAAGAGAAAAGGTAGCAAAGTTTTAATCGTATTAGACCGAGTTCGTATTAAAAGAGGCCGTGTTAAGCGAGGGCTAGGTGTACATACACACTGTCAGTGTCAACTATTTGCCTGTGCTAACATTTGGTCACACTAGTTTAAAGTTACTTAACAGTTTGTGCTGAGCAAGCAGGAAAGAGAATCAGAATCATTAATAAAAACTTTAATATAGTGTATGCTATTCTTCTCACGTTAGCCAGCACTACTAGCTTTGAAATATTTTTGCAAGTCACTGCTTATGCAATTACTCATTGCATCACTAAAAGTCTTATCGAAATTCGATTTGGCAACGCCTTTTTTCAAGCAACGTCATTACTCAGCACTTTGAGGAAAATCCAACAGTTTTTTTTGCGGAAAAATAGTAAATTGAAAATATGGAGATGAATAAATTTTCAACCGAGGATATGAAGTCAATATCTTTAGATGACATTGTTCGGGTGGAACGTCTAATGAAATTGCAAGATCTTATTGAAGAAAATATTGAAATCGGTACGTTGTGTTGGTAATAGAGTTCCTTTTCTTAAAGTGCACAATTTTTAAGATACGAATGTGGAAGTCCGTGGATTTGAAGAGGCGGTTGGTGCCATCACCACCCTATGTGAAAAAGCTAATGAGATAACAAAGGACTTTAAGAAGCGGTCACCTCATCCTATGGAACTTGTGCTGGACTGCGACCTACTGAGACGCAATTACGAAGTAGTTGGAAAAGCTATTAAAAACGATTTGGGTCTTACAGACCTGAGATTCGCCAAAGCCATTGTAAGTAAAAGTCGCTTCGATATGGAAATGTGTCCAAATGTGTATATATTCCTCGTATTTAACTTAATACTTAATTTAGCGAGAGCTGGTATACAAGGATGACGAGGAAGACTGGGATGTATTATGCGACCTGGCCTGTCAGCATAGCAGATCGCTTTTTATAAATTCCAGCATGTTACCGTTCATAGACGTAAAGCCAAAGCAACAAGTTAAGAAAAAACGCGTCTTACGAAAGCGAAAACCTAAGGTAATTTAAATATAATGAATCGAAAGTAATGGGGGAGCGAGGGAATAAAATATTGCAACTCTAAAGTTTGGGCCTTAATGGAACCTTAAGCGTTTAAGCTGAATAATATATATATTTTTATTTTATATTTTATTTTATTTTTTAAATATTTTTTAATAATAGGTTGCAGAGAAGCGTCCCAATGTAAGTGACAAGCTAGACCGACCGAACAAAGTCTCGACTCTATATAAAAAAGTATACGAGCAAACTAAAACGATTTATCAAGATGGCAACTTTCAGCCGATACCATACTATAAGTTGGTTATCGATCCTGATAATTTCATAAACAGTGCTCATAATGCTCTCATGGTGTCGTTTATTGTGGCCGAAAATTTGATTTCAATTAGAAATGGTGCTGATGGACTACCGGAAGTCACAGTTGTCACTAGTCCCGATGAGGTTGCGGAGAATAAGCCTGGACAGGCTATATGCCAAATGGATGTTCAACGTTTCGAGGTAATATCCGTACAAATCCTTCAAAAGCTGTAATCTGAACATTTTGTTTTGCAGAAGTATATCAAGTATTACAAAATAAAGAAGCCAATGATATCACGCCTCTTTGCTCTAAAAGACAAGTAATATTGTTCGTTACATAAAATGCATAATTTCAATCAATTTTTTTAGACACAATCACTCATTTTATAAAAATGTTAAAAATGTTTTAATAAACAGCAATAAAAATACGGGTAAAGGATTATCCAGCGATGAATATTCAACCATACTGTTTTATTCTATTATTTTCGTCAGTAGCAAAAAGTCTACCAAAAATAATTGTGGAAACAATTAATATTGATTCTCCAATATAATTTCATGCAGAATATTGTAAGGTATTATAAAATATCCGGTTTTCATGTGACATCTGAGCTGCATCAATTTTGATAATACCTGTCAAAACTGAAGAACATTAAGAGTTCTTTCGGAACTTTGGTTTCCAGACTAAGCACCCAAGCCTTAAAAACCAGGAAAACCCCGATGTGAAAATATTGTGAGAGGCAATATGGTTGATTAAGTGGGATTAAGTCTAAGGTTGATTAAGTCTAAGTCTTAGAATCCTAAGTTGTATTTTGGAGCATTAGCTGGATCATTAATCTAGTGTCGCTGCATTGCAGAGAGTATGAAAAATGTGCCTCTAAATGTCGGAACACATTAGGAACACAAATACATGTAAGTACCGCACTGAGCGGATCGGGATGAGCGCCGGAAAACTCGCGTAGTTGCGTGTTAAAACATCGATCCTGCGATTTATCAAGTCGAACTGTTGCTGCGGTCCTGTCGTCCTTTCACAGCCGACGGCTTCATTGATAAATGCACCAATTTGTGGATTGTCAATCAGAAGTGCTGCCAAAACTGAATGACTGACAGGACTGACAGCAAACACGCGGCGATGTGGCAAGTTCGCCAGGAGTTTCTGGCTGTTGCTGTTGTTGTCGCTGCCATTGATTGTTGCTGTTACTGTTGTTGTTGTTGTTATTGTGTACCTAATGTCTCTGTAAATAAGGCGCGCCGCATTGACGGCTCCTGCGCCGGTAGTTCTAAATCAGTCTCCTGTTTACAAATGTGTCGCCGTGTGCGCTGCGTAATTCAATCCTTGCGTGCAGGATGCACCCGAGCGGCAGCCGTCGCCGCTCCCAAACCAATAAATACCACTTAGATTCAACTAAGTACTTGGCATGGGACAACTAACATGCATATGTGATGGTGTCTGCGTCTCTCTCTGTGTGTGTGTGTCAACAAAGTCATGTATCGGCATGTTGGCGGATCGTCGATTCCGCACATGTCGTGTCCTTTGACACACACAGCGTGGCAGACGCGCAGCTGAGCATGCGTGCCGACTTCTTGTTGCTGTTGTTGTTTGCCATCGACCTGGGTCAGGACACGCATGTGCACATAAATTAACACGAGTACCCAACACTGCCGGCGGCAGCTTCTGCGACGAGACGCGACGCGATGCGACGCTTCGTGTCGAATCCCATCCTGCCGAATCCCTTTCATGCACTGATTCGAGACCATCCCCTGCACCTTTGCTCCCCATTAGCACGCGTCCACTTGGAACGCATGCGCAGCCACTTGAGGGGCAAGCTGCACAAACTGTGTTGTTGCTGTTCTTGATGCTGCTGCTGCTGGCCCGGTTAAAATTAGTCGAGGCCTGTCAGCAAATCTGATTTAGTGCTTGCCCGCCGAGCAGATGCTGTTTGCCGTCTGCTGCAGCCCCAACGAAAGTCCTTAACATCCTTGCTCAAATTATAATTCTAGCGGCAATTTAATTAAGCAATTACAAGCGTTTCTTTGTTTCTCATTTCGAGTGTTGATTTATTTTCGGATACCAGCAGCATTTGTCGCCACACACACACACACACACTCGGGGGAACTATACATACACGTAAGTATATACACCTAATTCTGTTTTTACACGGTAGGTTAGTTCCAAAAAAAGTCGTGTAAGAACCGTATAAAAAAGACATAGATAATATGTTATTTTGAATCGTGCTAAATGGAATAAAGTCGTTGAACCATATATTAAATATTAATTTTTCAAACCGTGCTAAATCACAACCTTGTAAAATCAGAATAAGTTGTACTCCAAAAGAAAACTAAGAACCACGTTGAATTTATTATAACCTTAAATTTAGAAATTGTTGAACTAATTCTTAGGTCTATGCGGAGTACACTCAAAGAACACATTTAAAATTTTATATTTACCCATAGATTTAAATATATCCGCCATTAAATTTGCGCCAATTTTTTATTTTTAAATATGTATTGATATTCAAATGATAAATACTCGTAGTTAATTTTTGTTTCTATTTACAATTTGAGTTATATTCAAATTAGGTGTGCGTTACAAACTTTTAAATGTAATGTAGTATTTAAATTAATTATTTAATCAACTACAAAAGACGTTAAATAAAATATTAAAATGTATGTTCATGTAGTGTCGTAAATTTAAATTGCATGCATTTATACTTTATTTTGCAAAATATTCTATTATTTCAATAAGTATATAAATGAATATTTTCGTTATGTAGAATTGAACCTACGAAAACAATAAATTGAATATGAAAATATTCATATGTAACCATGTGATTTGATTATTGTAGTAAAGGATCTGTAAGATAAAATGTATAATATTCTTGATCCGTCTATATAAGATCTCAGGGAGGACAATAGCTTATTAACTAAACTTGGCATCCAGGTTCTCTCATGTAACTGATCTAAAAACATACTCATATTATTTGTTTAATTATTGATATTTGATACATTAAATTTTGAATGGAAAAGTTGTAGGATCTCTGCACTCGCAACTCTGGTTATTGCAGGAAGAGAGCTGCCTCATCTCTCTTAGTTTGTGGAAAACACGCTTCTCAGGGAACATAATAATAAGCAACAACCATTGCCTGGGACGAACCTAGGAAAAATGTATACATTTCCCCTGGTTTCTTTCTAACTAATAGTTGTTTTTATGCAAATTGAACTTAACGGAGAAATTAATTATAAAGCAGTATATGGAGCAAAATGTTGTATCTACTACTACTAGTACTACTACTACTACTACTACTACTACTACTACTACTACTACTACCACTATCTACGACTACCACTACTACTACTACTACGACGACTAGACGACATACGACTCAGACTACTACTACGACGACGACTACGCTACGCGACGACTAGAGACGACTACTACGACGACTGACGATACTACGGACTACGACGACGACGACGACGGACGACGACGACGACGACGACGACGACGACGACGACGACGACGAGACGACGACGACGACGACGACGACGACGACGACGACGACGACTCCGACGACGACGACGACGACGACGACGACGACGACGACGACGACGACGACGACGAAGACGACGACGACACGACGACGTACGACGACGACTACGACGACGACGACTAGACTACTACTACTACTACTAGTACTAGCTACTACTATACTACTACTACTACGACTACGAACTACTACTACTACTACTACTACTACTACTACTACTACTACTACTACTACTACTACTACTACTACTACTACTTCTACTACTACTACTACTATCCAGCCCATGAAAAATAATTCACACTGCTCTCCGCAAGTTACGATCACCTTCAAGTGCAATTGTCCATTGAGGGGTTTAGTTGAGAAGGGACCTAGGCGATAGTTCTATTAAAAGTGAAATTTATATCCCATGACACGGCTCACAAAGCGGTCAACGTGAATGTGCGGGCCAACATATGGCCGCAAACTGAGTCAAGATTAAGTGTGGGTGCAACGCCGGCCAACTGACCCACAAGTAAGGCTCTCAAGTGCAACAGATGCACTCCGACTGGACAAAATTAATAACAAGCCACAAGAAGAGTGGATGGTGGTGTGGCGAGCCGTGTGTCGGCTGTCAAAGCTGTCGGGCATGTCAGTGTATTGAGAAATTAATAAAATGCCCAGGTTATGGGCCAGGCCGAAGCCTGTGGCAAGTGGAGGACAGCTGCGCGTTTCCACTTGTGCCTCGGCGTCGTCCCCTGTGCGGCTACTTGAGTTTTATGGATTTATTTGTCGAGACTCTAGCCCCACCCCGATAAGGACGACAGCCACCAAGTGCTGTGCGTGGCAATTAATCATGAGTTGAGAGACAACATTTTGTGATTTTTAACGACTGCGCCTGCTGTCAACGCGCATCCTTTTCGTCCCTGCACCCCGTTCGGGGGCGTGCTGCGCCCCATAGAAGTTGGTCGGTCTGATAAATGTTTGCGTTGCAGCCATCAAATAGATTTATTATTGAAAATATTTGTGTCATTTGATTTTTATTGCGACGTCATCTTTGCCGTTTGTTGTGACATTTGCACCGATCCAGCGAAACCGAAACACTCGAAAGCAAATGTTGTGTTAAATTCATTTTATGATGACTCGACGCGCTCGTCCATTTTTGAATACATATTGTGTTTATATCGAGTCCCCGTCCTGTCGACTATGTGGCCGTAAAATAGCAAATAAACCTACACAGCTGTTTCGTATGAGCTCGGTCCATGATCCCTCTTGCCATTACTTTTGCCGATGAAAGTGAATAGGAAGGAAACAGCCGCACTGGCACTCTACCACTTTTTAATCAAAGCATTTCGTCCAGGTGGAAATGGGTCTCTTTTTTATATCTAAGATAAAATTTACGAGACTTGAAGCTTTGGTTTGGAGGCTCGTCAATAAGAGCGACAGGATTGCCTGACTGAATAAGTCCAAAATTAAGTTACAGGTTAGTTAGTGCTATACACCCTATTGACTGTGTGGAACGTCTCAAGCGCGGTAGCTTTTCCCACGTTCACCTTTGCCACTGTGCTGATTAGAGCATATCAATAGACTGAGGCGGTAAATTCAACTAATCCTGCACATAACACTAATTAACCCTTGTCTGTATGTCCACCGACAACGAATACACAACACCTTTACACATAATTAGGCCCATTTGACTGCGCAGACAAAGGTAAACAGCTAAACACGTCAGCTCCAGCGACGCCACTTCACTCGGGCTAAGTGAGCTAAGCGGCCCAACCATTCATTAATCCACATGGAAGGAGAAAGAGTGAGGCCATAGCCACAGCCACAGCCACCTGTGCAACGCCGCCTCTACGCAATGCAAACGGCGGCATGGCACAAAGCCACAACAGCCTATTAGCCACAATAAAGAGGCAGCTCGGTCTCGCGACTCCAGTTCTTACCAAATTCTATTATGCAGTTATGCAGATGGATGCAATGCAATGTGGATGTGGTTGTGGATGTCGATGTCGATGTCGAGGTGTTTACCCGCCGACGGCTGCAGATGCCATTACAATGTAAATACTCGAACAAGAAAAGTTCACTCAGAAACTTAATACGGGGGGGTGGGCAACGAGGCTGGGTCTGGGTCTGGGGCTGGGTCTGTGGCTGACGACGCGCGTAGAAAGCCATTTCATTAGGCAGGCACAACGAAGCAGACTTGGACTGCTGCTGGCTTTTGAAGTGAACAATTGATCAAATATCATAATTTATCAAATGACAATGCGGCGGTCTCTGTGAGACAGCAGCCCAGCCGTCTCCATGGTGTTTGCCCCGCCAAGGCACGACATTGCGGGCTGTTTTTAGAAAGCTACAACCTAATTTATTTGAACAATTTAGTTTGACACAAACACAAGAGCAACAGCCATTTAGCTTGTCGTTCTTATTTATTTCGATTGCCGTCCCAATGAAGATATCAAAGTGGCCTGCATAGAATAATTGGGCATGCCCATTGGAGACTTGTAACTGATACATAGAATGTGAGAATCGTGGTGGTCTGTGCGGCGTAACCCAAGCCTATGTTGCCCTCTAATAGGTCAGCAGGTTGACTACCATAAAGAATCGGGATAGATGAGTACCTGCATTCGGAACTTCTCCAATGCATTGGATATTATGTAATTGATTGTGAGAGTTTGTTTAGCTAAAAAGTTATTTAAATTGCCGTTGACTTGTCAGTAAGGTGGGCATAATTCACCTGGAATTCAAGTCCAAAACTTGTGATAAATCGCTTTGTCTAGTATTTGTGAATTTCTTACAAGAAGCATCAAAATAGCCAGCGTTACAAAACTGGTCTGGTCAATATGGACAATACCCTTGGTATATTCATTAGCTTAGATACTGCCCCAAGGGCTTTTGTATGAGGATTTTTATTTTTGTAGGATAATATAAGGTTTGGATTTCGTTGGAGGAGAACTCTTTAAAAGTGCACTAAGGTGTTCTTTTTGAAACATTTTTCACTTTATGTATGTACTTGTAAAATAATTCAAATTATTGTGATCGGCTCAATCATACTTTTTTCCTCGCTTTTTAAATATTAGAAAAAGTTTATTAATTTATCAAAAGCATAAAATAAAAGTCGTTTTACATTTGGCACATCTGTCTAAATTTATATTAAATATATGAGATTTTATAGAACACATCCGTTTCAAGCTGTTAACACGAAATCGTTTCTACAACACAAAATTGTTGGTAAAATGGAGAAATACGAAAAAATGAAGAAACTGCAGCAAATGGCTGCTATCGATCCGCAGCCACCAAAATGCAGCTGTAACTGCAAGCGCAAGTTGGATCCGTATCAATTGTTTGACGATAACATCGAGGATATAGCCAACAGTTTGGCGCAGGTATAAGCCGAGTTTTCAGCTTTAGTTTGAGCTTTCTCTTTAGGACTTTCACACCCTATTCGCAGATCATGCTCATCTGTGGCATCAATACCACAAAGTGTTACAACGCGAAGCCGATTATCAAGCGCGCGTTCGTGTATCACGAGAAGATGCGCACCAAGTGCCCCCCGGAGCCGGATCGGGCGATTCATTTGAATCGCGATGATATGCTGCAGGCACTGCTTATCAAATGTGACATGCAACGTGTGGAGGCAATGCTGTCGTATGCAATTATTAAGCGAGCTTTTAAGGCCTTTTTCCACGGTAAGCCACCGACGACGATCAGCAACCCAATTGTGGACGCTATGGCCATACACGGCCAGGAGTCCGCTTGGTTGCACGCGGCTTACAAGACGGCGCGAATCTTCGACAACTACAGGGCGGCCTTCTTCTGGGCGCACAAGTCCTACGAGAAGCAAATCAATCTTGTCTACCGTAATCTCTTCCGGCGCATGCGCACACGAGCCGATCCGATGCAGGTGCCAACCTGCAAGTGTCGCGGCTGTTCCAAGCAGGAGGTGCCTGGTAGTCCGAAGCCTGCAGGACGGGACTATACGCAACTCAAGCTGGCTGAATGCGACAACTTGCTGGAGTCGTGCATTGTTTGTGGCTTGCAGTTGCCGAAGATGAAAACAAATGGGAAGGTGAAGGTGAAGCCACCGCGTCCAATAATTAACCACGAGCTTAACATGCAGCGGTGCGAGAAGTGCAACTCACCGTTTCTTATCTGTGAGTGCAACATAGATCCGTTAACGGGCGAGCAGTTCGGTGAGTGTGGCCAGGATTCATACAAGGTGAAGTGGTATCGGGTGGAGCAGGAGGCGCCCAATTTGGCTGGAAGCGAGGAGGCAATGACCGATGAAAAGTCTACGACCGACTGGTTGAACCATCACTGTCCCATCGACTGCAGACATGGCAGCAGTAGCGATTCCTCAGACGTCTGTCATGAGCAACGGAAGACTGAATCGGGAGCGGAGTCCGAAACAGAATTCACCAGCTGCACTGGCGAGGAGCAGGATATCGTTGCTAAATTGGAGGAATACCTGAACCAGTTGTGGGCCGAAGAGGTGGCGGCAAAGAAAAATCCAAAGACCTATAAACCAACTATGGACCGAAAGCCTCGCGCTTCCTGCCAGCGGAACTGATTCTCTTTTAATGACAATTTTAACTTGCTACGTGTATCTTTTGAGCCTGCAATACAGCAAACAGTCTGCAGACTTTACCGACAATCGAGTCTGAAAGTGTTGTATGGACTGTAAGAGGAAACTACTTACGGTTTCTTTCTTGGGCGACTTAGTGTTTTGCAAAATCGACTATTCTAGACCAAGTTATTAGCTTTTGTAGCGGTTGGTACGAAAAATGATTTGCTCGTCTTATACAACTCGCTAGTAATTATTAATTTGACGTTGAAGAGATTCCGAAGAGATTAGTATAGGAATCAAAATTGTTATATACCTACTCGTATGTACTATATGTATATACATACAAGTATGGTGCAATTCGGGATATACATATGTGTGTATGAGCATTAAATGTACCTGACTAAGGCTGCAGAGTTGGGCTAGATTATCGAGCGTGAGCCACCTTGCGCGCCCACACTGAAACGGGTGCTTATCGGCTACGCATGCGCAGTTCATCTACAGACGGAGGCAGCCACTGGCGCACTCACGCCCCACAGCGCTGCTGATGATCACGCGTTGACAATGGCCACTTAAAATGCCATTGCGACGTGTAATCGGTCTTAAATTGCTGCCACAACTTCGGCTGGTGCGGAGCCAGCGCTACCACCAACACCGCCAACACCGCCAACTCCTTCACAACCAGCGACTTGGTTGGCTGCGGCCGTTCCACATAAATCGCTCTCATTATCTGCGCAATTGCATCTGCACAATGGCCACAGTGTGTGCACAGTAAAGCACCGCCGTGCCCACTGGCGCAGACTTGGAATCTACCTTGGTTTCTGTGCTCGCTCATTCAAGTGTCGTCGGTGTCGCCGTTCTTATCAATGTCAGCTCATCTGCACGCAGCGGCGACAAACAGCGGCGAACATCTTCTGCGAAAAATAATTCCGCAACTTGTCACATTTAGTAAGTCGCAACGCGAGACGCCTCTGCGCCACAATCCAATGCTTCGCACCCGGCCGTCCCGGCAGTCTGGCTTACGCGAGTCCTTGACAGGCAGCTAAACTATTTTTGGCAGCGGGCTCCTCCGATTCCACCTTGTCCGCTCTCCGCTTCACTATACTCGTATGTATGTATGTACGTACATGGGTTCCTTTAGATATCTGGGAGTGGGGATTGATTTTCGTGTGCAATGTTACTTGAATCGCATTTGCATATAGATTTATTTTTATGGTTGCGTTGCCCGACTGTAACTTATGGTTGTGAAGTAGCAGCGTGTCGCCACCTATTTTAAAGTAGACTTTTGTCTCTAGAGAAAATATGAAAGGAATCTCTATATACATACATACATATGTATATGTACATCCTATATGTATACGCTCATTTCGTGGATACACAGACCAAAATTTTAAATCGTCCACATGCAACGAGAAGCAATTTTGCATTATATTTTTAGAAGCAAATAGATAGTTAAAAGATCGTTATACATTTGCGAGCCTCCATGCTTAATACTTGAAACTACTTTGCAAATTGTCCTATATGTATGTATGATATTAACGTACTGACAGTCGCCTACAACAATATGGACGATTTATTTTTTGGCCGTCAAATTTGTCATTGCTTTATTCAAACGGTTATACCGTTATATAAGACAATTTACAAAGAAATTTAAAAGATTAAACATACGGGATAGCAAAAGTATATACATTTCTTCAATTATCTATTTGGAAATATACTTTTCAAAGCAAATTTGCATGATATCTGCAAAATGTATGTCAAATTTAATGCAAATCATGTAAAAAATTAATTGATAATTGGTTAATAAATGTGTGCATTTACATACATTTTCGAATTAGAAACTGGTAAAAGCGCTAACAGATTTGTGTCTTTGCTGCGTTGCTCAGCACTACACAATTCACAATGGTCGACGATAACGATCAGCTGACAGCTTCGCAGTCCTTTTTCCGATGCCAATTGTAATTTACACTCAAAATGGTGCGCGAAAAGTGTAGAAAGTCGGCGTATTAAGTCGGTAATAAAATCGTATATGTATATATGTATTATAATTGTAATATCATTTATGTATGTAGGTACGTATTTCTTAATTTGTATATCAACATGCATAGTATGTAGTATTTAATCTGCATTTTTGTACATACATACATACTTGTATGTAGATTTGTATAAATATGGTGTGTATATACATACATACGTATAGTATATAGTATAATCACATTTATTTACTCATATTCGAATGTGTGCGTATGTTTGTACAAGTATGTAGATGAAATTGTACGCTCTTGAAAACACGCATTGCGCACGGTCTTTGATGTAAACAAAGGGATATTAAAAGTTCGTATACTCGATAGACGCCTCTTTGGTGCAATCGAAACTATTGAACTGCTCAGAAAGCCATCAAATTTGTATCTAATGGCCGCACTTCAGCACAAGGCAACATACATACGTACATACATATGTACATGCGTACATACATACAAAGATCCAACTGGAGTGTTTGCGCGTGGAGACTGCAGGCAGAAGTCGAGTGGCAAATGCTTTAATTGCCTGCACTGTTGCCCGAACTTAATATTCTTTTTATAGCTGCACTCTTTAACAGCAATTAATGAAGTGTCGAGTTGTTAACACCAACACACACGCATTTCCTTCGATTCAATAGTTTCCAGCATTTGCACTTTAGATACATATACATATACATATGTACATACATATACTATGAAGGCGTTGAATTTGGAAGACGCTAAGAAGCCAAGCAGTTGGGCTGTCGTTGCATTTACCCGGCCCGGCAGCTGTGGCGGCAAGCAGGTGGGGCAACCGAAATTGTAAACAAACAAATTAAAGCGACCCAAGCAGCTCCTTCTTTGTTTAGTGAAGTACACAGCAAAGATCTGTCCGTCACACCGACTCACACATGAGGTGAGAAATCGGGCACGGAGCAGCATAGTCTCCGCTGCTGTCTGTGCAGCGATTTCACAGTTTCGTTGCAGCTCGCTTTCCCGGCCCATGCAATGCAAACAGGCGGCTTAAATGCTGCAGCATTAATCCGCAGGGGTCACGACTTTTTCCAGCTCCCGATTCGGTGGCGCTTGATAGCTGAAATTGAGAATGCCCTAGAAAATATTTCCAAATTTACTATTGTGGGTGTATTATTGGAGACATTCTGTCGTGATAAAACGTTTAATCGTAAAAGTTAATCTTGGCCTAAACCTAAAAGCACTTCATTACAGTGTACAGTGGAGTAAAATCAAAATAAAATGATTCAATTAATTAAAATAAATGCTCCGATCTGAGCTTTATTCATGTACATATGTGTATTTTTTACAAATAATACAAAATTCATCGTAAGTACAGTAAAAAATGTTTTTGTAAGTACTTGGTGCATTTCAACGTATTTCCCAATATTCCAATGGCTTTTAAGTTATTGCCTGGAAAGTAAATGTTGTTACGAAAATAAGTGTGAATATTGTTTCGCATTTTCTCGCTCGTTTCTAAATAGGGTATACTAATATGTAGCGAACCTGTAACAGCATGTTTATATGGGCTTTAATGCTTCGAATAGGCCAGTAATTGCTGAGATTATGTGTGGATCTAAATATATGTACAGCATATATTTGACAGCCAATTGACATTACCTCCCATTGTGCGCCGATGAGTCTGTTGGTCAATATCTCACTGAACATTACTGTGGGAAAACAGTTGTTGGAGCGTTAAATGTGTGGAGCGCCGCCACCGTCACCAACACCGCCGACGCATCTAAGAAGTAGCGAGAAAAATGTTAATGATAAACCTGTTTGTCAATTAAACAAAAATATTGTAATAGTTGATAACAAAATGGACAAACAGAGCAGCAAGCACCGAACTCAATCCGCCGCACCCGAGACAGAAGCACCACTGATGAGAACTTCCCAGAACCAGAAACAACCTGTCAACCGTGTGGTGCACAGGCTGTGCTTGACGCCGGCCGTTTTCATTATCGCCTTGCTCTTACCGCCGACCATCGCCACCAAAGACTGGCTCAGGTCTTCAAGCACCTCCCTTGCTCTCTCTTTTCCTCTCCGCTACTCGTATCGTTCCCTTTGTACTGGCTTATTGTTTAGTGAAGCATTTAACTTACAGTATTATGGCGAGAAGAAAAGTGTTTTGTATGTGATACCGTTTTGAAATGTGCCAGCTATGTATATGTGTATGTATGTACGTTTGGACATCAGTGAGAGGGGGGCCTGGGCAAGGGCAGTGGATCGGGGGTCTGGCACCTCAGACGCAATGCTGTGAAATATTTCCCATGACAATTCTGTTTGTTTTTCGTGCATTGTCTGCGCTGCCTTAGTGTTCCTTTGGTCTGGGATGTCTGTCATGTTCCCATCGTCGCCCACTCGCTGTCGTTGCCCAGTTGCCGGTTATGGTCCAAGATCGAGTTATGCGTATGTTTATACGTGTATGTGTGCATGTGTGCGTGGACTATTTGCTTTATCTATGTCAGCGTTGAGGCTTTTGTTCAAGAATGTTTTGGTTTTTCATCGACATTTGTATAGTATAGCCTGATACCTTGTCAAAAATGTACGAGTAGTATGCGTGAAAGGATAGAGATTTTCCAGTTCAGCTCATGCGTTGTAAAATTTAACATTTAAACGAAAATACAGTTCCTAACAATCCATATTGGACATTAATTTACATACTAAGTAGGGTATTATTATCACCCGAAGGAGGTTTTGCTTGTAGTTCATAGGAATTGATTGAGGAATTAATTGTTTTGAAAGGACTTTTCTATTGACCTTAGCATTCTCAAGTTTAAATTTGTCATAAAAACGTGAAATGCATCGCATGTTTCTAAAATATGCGACCCTTTTGCATTTTCTTACTCGCTGCTCAAATTTTTGGCAAACTCGAGGAACGGAAAACGGCACGAGTTGGCATGCGAAGAAGTCGCTAACCAGTTGGATTCATTCCATTCACGGCCGCTCACTTAAATACCCCAAAATTATTGCAGACGCTTGACCAAGGCTCAGGCTCCTCTCAAATGCTATCCAGGCGGCGAGGTCAATGGAGTGCCGCTGAAATTCCAATGAATTAAACGAAACAACGCCAATTTGCGGTCGATAATTATTATTCTGAAATTCTGCTAAAGTGAACGCAAGTTAGTAACTGACGGGGGGGCACTGGTAATCTGTCCACCACTGACGAAACTCGTTTCCAACGTCGCTGTGATAGCGCTGGGAGATCTGCAAGCCTTGGGCTCCGCGCAGGACTCGACAAAGATCACAGTACGGCAAATTGTTTGGCATTAGCTGATATTTGAGGTGCCACCAGAAGAAATTGTTATACTGCTCGGAATATCCCTCTAGCCCGTTAAGGTATTCTGCAAGGTCACGTGGCGAAGCGAACTGACTGCCGAGGATGTAAATACCCTCTGGAACCAGTTTTCCTAGGTTGATGCTACCAATAATCACGGGCACGACGTAGTTGTTAAGTGCTACGTAGAACTGTGGAGGGATGTAGTCCGGACAGGCGGTGGACTCAAATATTAACAGAAACTTGTACATATCGCACCTATGTTGGGGAATGATGGAGTTAGATAGGGGGGATAGACAGTAGGACAGACCGACAAGACTTACCCATTGGAAAGGTCACAATCTTCATAGGCATCTAATGTTGTGTGCTTACGCATTTCCTCTAAGTAGTTGCTCTGCTCTTTTGAATTCTCGTTAACCTCATTAATGATGTGGAAGGCTAGGCGATCCTTCTTGTTAAGCTTGTTGCGCAGCTCGGTAGCCTCCAAGGACGGCATTATCTCGAGAAAGTTCTCGATTGGCGCCGAAAAATTCAATTCTCGGTGACGTGAGTATTTTATGGCAAAATAATACTGGGTCCATATAATATCTGAGTCTTGACGATAGGTCATAGTCAAATTGTAGAGCGGTACCGTAGTGAGCTTCAGGGGTGCTGCTATGCGATTGAGTGGCCGGCTGGCTGCAAAAACGGCTATGAACCTAGGCTGTCGCTGAACCGTCTGGAGGTTATCCAAAGTATATTTCTTGTCGCCATTGAAAACGATGGCATCAAAAGCTCGGTTGCTGTAATTACGTTCCGTGGTAATCACACAACCGCATTCGCTGTAGGTCCACCAGCGGTTTTGTGGACTCCGCGCCGGCATCTGACTGTTCCACAGCAATATAGCACGACTAGGAAGTTCATTCGTTTCTTCGATGCGCTGATATGCCACGAGCCGAAGGATCGAGCATATAAATAGAACGGCAACAGCCACCTTTAGAACCGTTGCATATCGGTAGGTACTCTCTCGTTGTCGGTTTAGATTGTGTCGCGAGACCACCGAACGCCGTGGTGGTGGTAATATGTTGAGATCAGAGTCGAAGGAGTTTTCGCTGACATCAGTCTTTTCTTTGAAGGCAGCCTCCATCTTGTTGCGATAGTGTGTGCTGTGTTTTTCTTGGAATTCTCGGTACCTACGAATTTCGTTGATTAACATTATCTGTTTATCTAAATACAATAATTGCGAGCTTTCCCATAGCCAACTAAAGAAGTCTTTTTTTGAAATACATTAAGTGAAATGTTATATGTAAGTTTTTGTTTTTGGTGTGTACGTTTGTAACACTCAAATGATAAGATGATTTCAAACCGAGTTTCGCGTCCACCCTTCTATTTGAATCTTCACGATTTGAATCTTCACGACTTGAATCTTCACGACTGGAATCTTCGTGATAGAGTCTTAGTATTGAAACTGGAATCTTCATGATAGAGCCTTAGTATTGAAACTGTTCGTGGGGTTGGAAGTGTTGACCATTGATGACTTAAAAACACATTTTTAAAAGCTGTTTTGATGTCCTAGTTGGTTTTTGAATGTTAAACGTATCGGGTATAACCATTTAAATAACACTAACTAGTCAAAAATTCCTTCAGCTTATTCCTGCCTGCGAATAACGCAGCTCGCCTTGTGGCCTGTGTTGCGCCTGTTGCCAAACTGTGTGCAGGGCGCGATCGGCAATTAAATGCCGCACACATTGTTAAAACTGCTTAATTATCGATCCGATGCGCGACGTGATCCGAGACAAAAACAACAACAAAAGCAAGAACAACAGCAACAAAGTCAGCATCAACAAAAACAGAACAAAGGCCGCCGGCAACGTCGCCACCTCAGACGCCGCTCAAATTGGGCTTGATTGCGATATCTTCGATGTTCTCGACGGATTAAAACAGGCAACACAACAGTGCACAGACTATCCGAAGTTAAGGAAGGGGCAGGGGCACGGTTAAACGAATTAACATGTAATTATCTCAGTTCGATGTTGAAGGCAACGGCAAGGAACGCTGATCGGACATAGGACCTATTGCTGATGCCAGTGTTGGCGGCACTGCTAATCGCAAGTGAAATGAATCGCAACGAATCGCAGGCGACACCCAAACCAAAAACAAACTCGTCTTGTTAGGCCAATAGTCTGAGCCCTTACGGATGAGTCGGGAACGGCGCTCCGACGCGTCAGGCCCTAGACTAGGCAGCTGCTGCTGCTGCAGTCCTTGCGTGTTGCGTGCTGAAGCAGGGTGTGTCCCTCTGCGACCTGCATCTCGGGTCCCATTCGGTTGACCACCCGCGCAACGGCGGCAAGTGGCGCTAAAGTTGTCAGTCGGTTTGCCCAAAGGCGACGATTCTACACCCTAATTAGTTGCTATCTACGTGCTGAGTCTTTGTGCTCAAGCGTCTATTGGTAGACCGTGTGGTTATTGATGTGCCGTCAACAAACCCTATAGTATAGTCCCGTCTTAGAAAGTGAGAATACTACAAAAATATCTGTATATGCTACAACTGGCAGAAAATGAACAATCTTATAATTAGTGTATTTATATGTGTTATTAGTTGCAATTGTTTTTTGACATATCTAATATATAATTTTCAAGAATGTTTTTAAAGATTTTGTGTTATCTTTAAGAGAATAAACAGAATATTATACAAGCGAAACATTCCATATAATAGCATAGATTACAAATATTTTATTAGAAATTCAACCCACCCAATTAAAAAAGAAAATATATATATATTAGTGTAGTTCTTGTTATTATTTGCGATTGTTTTTTTACATATCTGGTAATATAATTTTTAAGAAAGTTTTCAAAGATTTTGTGCTATCGGTAACAGCATAAACATATTCTACAAGCGAAACATTCCATATAATAGCATAGATTACAAATATTTTATTAGAAATTCAACCCACCCAATTAAAAAAGAAAATATATAAAATTAGTGTAGTTCTTGTTATTATTTGCGATTGTTTTTTGACATATCTGGTAATATAATTTTTAAGAAAGTTTTCAAAGATTTTGTGCTATCGGTAACAGCATAAACATATTCTACAAGCGGAACATTCCTTATAATAGTATAGACTACAAATATTTAAAATTAGTGTAGTTCTTGTTATTAGTTACGATTGTTTTTTGACATACTACTTATATCTGGTAATACAAGTATAATTTTCAAGAAAGTTTCTAAAGATTTTGTGTTATCTTTAACAGAATAAACAGAATATTATACAAGCGGAACATTCCATATAATAGCATAGATAACAAATATTTTATTAGAAATTCAACCGACCCGATTAAAAAAGAAAATATATAAAATTAGTGTAGTTCGTGTTATTAGTTACGATTGTTTTTTGACATACTACTTATATCAGGGAATATCATTTTCAAGAAAGTTTTTAAAGATTTTGTGTTATCGGTAACAGAATAAACAGAATATTATACAAGCGGAACATTCCATATAATAGCATAGATAACAAATATTTTAATAGGAATTCAATCCACCCAATTAAAAAAGTAAATAAATGCATATATTAGGGAGAGGGACATGCCATTGAAATAGGAACACGCTGATGTTTCAGGACACGAACACCTGAAGAATGCATCGACCCAGCAGTGCCGAAGTAAATCACCAACTGGCAGACCTATTAATAAGTTTAATTAAAACTGTGAGTTTGGCAGCCGCCAAAAGACGAGTTGCACATTTTCAGTAAAGTAAAGCGAAAACTACGCCGATTTGGAGTGTGGGAACCAAATTATTCAAATGTTGGCCATAATTCTCGCTCATATGCATATTTATTGCATTTTTCGCTCCGGCAACGCCCCCATATTCACAATGGAATTTCAATTTCATTATGCCGTTGACTCCGACTTCGACTCCGACTCTGACTCTGGCTCTGAGTCCACCATCGACCAACATTCGACTTGAAAAGCCAGGCTCAAATGCAATCGGTCCATGTGGAGTCTTTTGTTTTGCCTGACTTTGCTCTGCCTCGCTTTGTTTTGGTTGAGTTTATTTTTTTTTTTTTTTCGAATGCTCGGTCAATCCCATAGCGTAGCTGTCTACGTCGTCGTCTGGCATTCGCAAGAATAATTAAAATTTATATGTGTTTTGTTTTCATTTGGTTTGGTTTGCTTTGCTTTGGTTTCACCTTAACTTTGTGGTGCGCCGCAGCTTCGCCCTGCTGCTCTAATTTGGCGTGGGCACCCAGAGGCGCTCGCTGGCTGCCCGGGAACTTGCGATTTCGTTTCACTTTCGACGTTGGCGTCGCCGCATAAGCGGCATATAATTTACAATACAGGCGCTCGCAATTTGCATGAACTCATCGGTGGTACGTGCAACTCCGTCCCTACTACCTGGCTTCAAAATACTAGTAACAACAACAATAACAACTACAATGCAAAAACCTCAACATTCTCATACTGGCCGCAAAGTCACGTTGCAGAGTGAACATGAGTGCGTATCATTTAAATACTTGTCAATTGGAAAATTGCAAGCTCCGAGCCTCAATAATTGAGTGAACGTGCATGTTGCACGGAGTGGGGCGGATTGGGGCACAGGAAAGTGGCAGCTGATAAGCAGCCAATAACAGCCTTTTATTCATTCATTCAGCTGTGTCCAATGCTGCAAACCTGCTTTCATTCTTTCATTCATTCCAACTGACAGCCAGCTAGCTAGCCTGCCTTTCAGTCAGTCAGTCATTCAGTCATTCATTTACACAGTTCGGCAGTCAGCACGTCCAAACAAGACGATGCCTTCCTCCTCCCCGCCTTCCTTCCTCATATCCGCCCAAGCCACACAAAACTGCAACTGCGACATCCTCGACAGCGAGATGCGGCCTGCATTTGAAATGAGGCGCGGACGAAGCCGCAGTAGCAGTAGCAGCCCCAACAGCAGCAGCAGTGCGCAAAAATTGCGAAATGAATATTCGAAATTGCAGTGATATATCACCGATGGATTGCCTGTGGATGTGGATGGTGATGGCAGTGGCAATGGCAGCGATATTCTGGCGCAAAATGGTGAGCGAGCGTGCGATTGAAGGGAAGGAATTACGCAAAATTTTCTGGCAGATTGTCATGTTTCTGATGGTTTGGCAAAATGATTGATTACTTTGTTCCTGTTCGCATGAATGGATGGATGGCTGGATGGCTGGCGATTGCGTGGGGGCCTCCTGAGGAATTGGGAGTGTTTGTTTGTTGTCATCGTCCATGTCGGCGGCGCGTCGTCACTGTCGCTGTCGCTCTGTCTGTTCCAAATAGAATAGTAGTAGAAGTAAAATCGGAAATGCGCAAGTTGTCGCCTTGGCAGCAGTTGTTGATTGAAAACTTTCCTGATCGTGCCATATTGGTCGATTGGTAGAGGCCACCCCAAACAGCTCAAAGGGAACTATGAGAAATTATTTATGAGTATATCTGTGCCAAACAAAGTGACTGTCAAAATAGGATTGTATCGTTGATTGAGACTAAACAAGATAGAACGCTACAGTCGAGCAAGCCCGACAGTGAAATAGCCTGTACTCTCCACAAAAAAGAAAAATTAAAAAAAATATATATTAAAAAAAATTAAATTATTTAAAAACAAGAAAAGAATGCTAAAGTCCAGCAAGCTCAACTCTTAAATACCTTGTACCTCCCACCAAAAAGAAAAAAAATGAAAAACACTTTTTTTAAATAATTAAAAAAAAGTATATTAATTAAATTATTTTATTAAATTAAAGACATGTTCATGTACACTTTCAACAGCATACATTTACATCAGAATCGTGTCTCTGCGTGTTTATATGCGTGTATGTATGCAGCACAAAGTTGAACCCAAGCAGCAACAACAACAACAGCTGCAGGCAGCGCTACAAGCAGAGCATGGGCAGCGATTTTATTTATGGCTATAACTTTCTTCAGAATTGCCCTATCATGATGAAACTTGGAATACAGACACATAATCACTAACGGGATGTAGCTACTAATTTTAGTTCGAAATTCCAAGAACTACGGGAGTTATGGAAAAAAACACGAATTGCGGGGGAGTGGGGGGTGTATCAGAATAAAAATATAAGCTTGACCTGCCTAGGGCTTATGGGAATCTGGATACCGAGTTTGGTTATTCTAGCTCTTGTACTTCCTGAGATCGTTGCGCTCATACAGACAGACGGAAATGGCTATATCGACTTGTCTTGTCGTCCTGATTAATAATATATATACTTTGTG